CCCAACCTCAAATTACCACTCAGAGGAACGCGTTTTGAATCCATAGAAGACGTAAAACAGAATTCGCAGAGGGAACTCAAAGCCATACCGGAAAGCGCCTATAAAAAATGTTTTGATGATTGGAAGAAACGTTGGCATTTGTGTATCGCTTCTAATGGAGCATATTTTGAAGGAGATAAAATAAATATTGATGAAGATTAAGAATTTTGCGTTTTATTTAAAAATTTCCGGAAACCTTTCGGTCACAATGTAAATACAGAATAAGTTAGTAAGCGTATTGAGACTAGGACAAAATTTTTTATTTTAGGTATAATATAAAGAGCAGTATTAGTAAAAATACAGATTATAATTTATAAGGTAAAATGGCAACATTTAAATTTTAATATTTATCTGTATTAAATGGTTCCAACAAAATTGCATCTGCATATTACTATTATTAAATAAAACCATATAATTATTGAATTGCATTTATGATTTCTTTTATAATCGCTAAGAATATACACAGATTTACATTGAAGTTAATAATTACTTTAAGGCAACAATTTTTTATATGAGTACAAAATGTTTTATATATAATTACTTGTGGTGTAAACGTAATTATTCAAGCGTATGCAGATATATAATTAACATTACGCAGATTCTTCAACATTTACTTTATATTTAAATACCTATTGACAAGCCTTTCTCTCGACGAACGCATACTCGATTACCAGACAAGTGGAAGTGATTCCAGCCTTTCATGCAATGACAACAAAACACAAGCTGCCAAAGTGTTTAATAATTGCGTATTTATGCAGTTTTTAATGCAGACTTGCAAATGGCTGATGGTATGAAATCACATGCATTAAATACGCACATTTTGTAATTAACGAGCTGAACATGCACATCGAATTGACTCACCAACTGAAGTACATCCGCGAACAAGTACCGGCCGAAAAGTTAATGTGTACAAGCATTTAAACGCTCAATATGCTCATTAAACATACTGATTCCTGTCATAAACACAATGAACTCATATGATTAGTGTCGATAATCGACATAATGAAGATGATGCTATGCATTAAACTACAATGAAGCTAACAAATAAGCGAAATACAATAACCACCGCCGACCTTTTACAGATGCGTGAATGCTGCAAAGTATTCATTATATTTGCACTTTGGTTTAGTAAATGAAGCTCAATGATTTCAAATTGGTAGAGTGCACTTCACTCCACATTTGAACATTATGTATGAGTACACTATGAGCTCGCTTATCTATATTCGATGTATGTGAAAAGATGCTTGTGAAAAAGTAACAGTTTTGTGTATATTTTTAAAAAGTAATTGAAAAATGATTATCGTGCTCATTATTATAACATCAAGTGCTTTTTCATTTAAAAATATTTCAAAAAAAATTTTAATAATGGTGTTCAGTATAATTTTGGTGTACAAAAGATGCCGCCAAAGTTGTACGAACAAGTTGAGCTCATGTTGTCGTCTCTTTGTGGATACTTAACAAGAGTTTACCTTTAGTTCACAATCATAAATATGCGTGATGAATATAATCGTGTACTTATAAATATGGAAACAGTGCAATTTAAATCACATTTCATATAAGCAATCATAAATTTATAATTGACCTTTGAACAAACCTTTGGCTTGACATGTAGCGGCACTTTAACCACTTCATTATTAAGAATCTTCATTACAGGAACCTGCTAGCTATAAATCATGAAATGTCTAAGCATTTGCCTATATTTGCAAACACACATTTTTCGTTTTATTGGATTATTAGATACAAGCCTTGGTTTCAATTTCATTTTACTGCAGCTAATATTGTAATACATTTTATATTGTAATACATTAGTCAATGAGTATTGCACTATAATAGTTTAAGTATAAATACTAGTTATAAGTTATATATAGAAGTTCCTTCTATATTTAGATATTATGTTCTATAACATTATTACAGGAAATTATTATTAAATTAAATATAAAAAATAAATATAAATATAAAAAATAAATATAAATATAAAAATTATTTCATAACTACTATAACAATGATTGTTGTAGTATTCCCAATATTTAAAGGTGCTGATACGGCACTGCATACCAGAAAGACATGCTATAAGACTGGGACTACCCTAGGGTTATGGCTTTGCGAATAAGAAAGAGAATTAATAGCTAGGGGAAGGCTCAAAATCCGTAGGGCCCCTTATCCAACCGACCTGCCAGAGCTGTCATTCTGCAAAATTAGGGACTTGCTCAAACTTATAAACTTATAGACGTATTAAGTTAGTTTACTTTAACTAACTCACTTACTGACCACTTCCAGTCGTTTTGAAATTCTTCTACTTTGCGTATAAACAGCACTAAGCTAGGGTATCACTACGGGCCAGTATTTGAGCCAAGTGTGCTTTTGGCACAAGGCCGCTATTCCAAGCTAATCTAACCTATTACTGATATTACTAAATACAAATATATAAATACAAAATTATAATAATAATCTGAGTTGATTATATTACACTTTGAACGTACTTTTTGAAGTGACAACGATCGCTAATAAGTAACAGAAATAGTTATGTATATATTCTAAAGGCAAAAATATTAAATATTATTATTAGAATTAGCTAAATAAACTATATGAAGAATGTTTGAAAGGTAAACATGAAGAGTGAAGAAAGTTTCTAATAATGTTTAATTTTCGACATCATCTTCTCTTAACTCGTAATACCTTTTAAACTTTTTTAAATAGTGAAATTTATCAAGATCTTATAAATATCCTCTTACGGTTGATATTATCTCTTCAATTCACAAAAATTTTCGTACTTTCACATAAATTTTCTAATTTGGAAATAAAAATTTTTCAGTGATGACCAGTTCTGTAAAATATGGGGGTTGGTCAATGATTTCAAAATGCAAATAGTAAAAACATTAACATTTGACGGAATTGGTATCTTCACAGAGTTCTAGTTTTGCTTAATAAATATTTCAAAATACTCGTATGTTCATAGTAATTTTTTTTTTGTCATTATTTAATGACACAATTTTATAAAAATATAATAATTTCAAAATCAACTCTACATAATTTCCTGATTACTCACTTAACATAATTTCAATTTAATCACTATAACTAAAACTCAAGAGCAGACATTTTAAAAGAGCAATAAATTCAGCTTCACTTTCTGCTTTTAACGCCATAAAATCATAATTTATATTATTAAATATTCATATCTGTTTACGTTCATAAAATTCAGCACTTAAATCCATTGGAGTAAATTGTATACATGACAACGCATAGTTTATGATATTTGAAACTACTTATAGACCCATAAATTCGCAAAGAAACTGCGCTACTAACCGTGTTTATGCAGATGCAAATTGTGGCAGAGAAAAGTGTATCCAGTTTAAGTTTCTTAAAGATTAAACTGTCGCCATAAAAGAGAAATTGTGCTGAAGTAAAATTGTTTCAAGAAATCATAAAAGTGTGAGACGTAATTCGGATTCGAATTTAAAGCAATTTTATTAACATGTTAATTGTTGCACTAATTTTTATTAATAATTTATTACTCTGAATTAATTTTGGGGAAGAACGGTATTTACGCTACAAGTATTGGTGTTATTTAACCGGAAACAAATTATGGATTCGACTTTATACGAAAGTTATTATATTTAATAATATAATAACTTAAATAAAAGTTATGTAAAAAATCGTTAACATCACTTATAAAGTAATTTAATATTATACTTATAAAGATATAATAGAATAGAATAGAATAGAAAGAACTAGGCACAGACCCTAACCGAACAGAAGACATTCCGCCTTTCGAATGAAAGCCAGAATGGCAGCCGTCGAGGACCTCCTAATGTCGGAAAGGGAAAGCAGTTCTTTTCCCACTGACCTCTTCCTGGCCGAGATCAAGGCTATACAGTCACAGAGAATGTGACTGGAAGTTCTGTCTGCTTCTAAGCAGAGTCATTTTGTTAAATTCCATGGTGACCCACTATATATCCCCCCAACAACCTCAAATCTGTTCTGCTAAAGAAGGATACCTTACTGTAACTGTAGAGATAAACCAGTTCTTTAGGGTGACGGTTACCTGGAATGTCACGCCAGTAGCGACTTCCTTCGATTGAAAACCATTTTTCAATCAAAGACCTAATTGTAGACCAACTTAATGCACAATATGGCTCCGGTCCACAGATTTGAATGCCAAATCCTGACCTCTCTGTCCACAGTCTCATACTTATAAAGATATTAAGTCATACATTAAATATATCACACTAACCTTAATTCACATTATCGAAATGAGAATAAATAGCATCACATCACTCAGACGTTAAAAAAGTGCTCAAAGGCAGTGTCAGTCAACAGTACCAAGAAAGTAAAAAACGAAAGCAGTTGATAATAAAAAAATACTATAGTGCTAGCTAACTGCATCAAAAGTTTGTAAGAACACCTCTGTTAATTGGTTGTTGATTCTGTTTAAGTTGCTTAACTTGTCCAATTTATTTTGAACCACGTCTCTGGCCATGAAAATCTAAAATTTTAACTCGCGCAGTAATTAAAGAAAAACCGTTTTTTGATTATCCATATTTGAAAGGTCTGCTAGGCATCTTTGGTCGTAGACTCAGTGCGGTCAGGTGTAGGCATTTGCAAAAAAAAGGTTTAGTTGTTTTCTCCCTTTTCCTCTTTGCAACTTTTACATGTCTAGCTGTAGGGGATATCAAATTTTTCTGCACGGGTGACCACTGACTAGTGGCCAGTCCATAACGCCACGAGTCTTGTCACTTCGATTTGGGTTTTACCCAGTAGTATTTTAATTTTCGAATAAGTGTAGCTTGACCATATTAGTTTCGATATTTTACAGCCTATCGAACCGTTTTATTTGTATAATGTAACTCTTAGAAAATTATTAATGATATAAGAACCTTTTAATCTACATAAAATTATCACGTTATCAATGAGTTTTCAAAAATACAATATCATAAATTAAAAAATTCATAAAATCATTTTATTTTATTTTCTTGAACGTGTTGTATATTTTACCAATGTAGAATTTTTTCGAAATCCGAAATTAAGACAATTTGACAACATGCCATTAGGAAGAAGTATTTGTTTTGGATTTTTCAATAAAATGAGAAAACTATTTAGATATTATTCGACAAAATCAAGGCGTTCCAATAGCAGAAGGATAAGATTTACTTCAAGCACTATATGGCGCGATATAATACGTAAAGGAAAAATTGATTTGATTAGCATTAATCCATTTGTGAATTATTTAAATGAATATAAAAGAATATCACGAAAATATCTTAAAGGTGAGCTTAAATTGACAGATAATCGTGTAATAGCTTCACGTCTATCTGAAAAACAATCCATCGTTTTGGCGAGTAATTCTAATCATGAATTCATTTTGCGACAATTCGCAGTGGAGAACTGGAATTCGATGTCATATCGAGAGCGAAAGCTTTTCATTAATTTGGCACAGCAGAAACAAAATTGGTTGCAGTCTTTTGGTAATACCATTAGAGTGACAGCGAGTGCACCTAATATCAGTTTAAAATCATCTGATGCCGGCAATGAAACTTTTGGTATAACGAAACTTAGTATCCACTCCCACGGTAATGATAAAACAAAATTACCACCTAGTCAATTGAACTTACCTTTAAGTCGCTTATCAGTGATTAATCCAAAATTAACAAATAATGCGAAAAATGGATCTATTCGAAAGAAGACATCTAAGAAACTTTATCGTTCCGTATCTAGACCTATTAAAACAAAACGTAAAAACAGTAAAAGACAAACTGAAGTAGGTGAACAGAACGAACCTATCCCCGTCTGTAATGTTGATATAAAGACTCTACTTAGTCAGTTGGAATTAATTTGTCTCTCCAATATCAACGATAGTAGTTTAAACAACCAATTAAATTCTCTCCCTAGCCAAGTAACAAATGAACACGCTGAAAATAACAATGAGTTAGCAGGCAATTTATATGAGACAGCAAGTGTATCTAATATCGCATCAAATTGTATGAACTCACAGCATATAAAACCCAATCGTAAGACACCACTGCGTATAAACTCAAATCATAAGAAACCCAAGCTAAGAAACAAATGGAAATATAATTTAAAGCCGACTAGACAATTTGCAGTTTCTACCCAAAACTTTGAGAATGATGATTTCGATAACGATATCTCACATAACGAATCTGATACATCAACTCTGGACTTTGGAAAAGAGAATGAAGTGAATTTTCCTTTGGATAATGATTATACAGAGGGTATTAATGATCCTAAAAAACGTAAACGCAGATCTGCAAATAATAAATTTGGTAGCGGTACTTCACGAAGACAATGCAACATGTCTACTCAGAGCAGTGGTACAGAGAACAAAAAAACATATGTATCAAATAGTCAATATAGAAAACTTATGAAATATTATTCTTCTGCTGTCATAAAATCTAAAAATATTAGAAGAATCAAAAACAGTGCTCAGAAATATCGGAAAAATAATTCCGATAGCGATACGTCAGCCAATACGTCCAGTATTATTGCTATGAATAATGGAGCAGAAAATGAAAATTTTATATCTAATAGCCAATATGGGATTAATAGAAGTTCTAGCATTGCTAACAAATCAAGAGTTCACCAGAATGCCAAGAAACGTACACATAACGAATGGAATAACAATATTAATAGTGATACAACAGCTAATCAATCTAGCACGTCTTCTAAGACTGCTCTCACACTCCAGGGTCGCAGGAATGCCAAAAAATGTGCTGCTTGTTTAGATGTTACCAAATTCAAAACTTACAAGTAAAAGAAACAAATTGAAAATATGCCTTTTATGCGCATTTATAATTAAGATATATTTGGTGTAATTGTTTTAAATTACTATATTTACTCTACCATGCGACGCAAATTTCAACATCCAAAGAAATCAATAAATTTTGTATATATAGTAAGTATATAAATATATCTTATACACTGCTTTTTTTTAGTTTAATAATGTTATACTTCGGAAACAATTTTTTTAGTTTATTTGATTAATATTTCTATAATTTCACGGTCTGTCGTTGAACCTGCATTAGTCATTCAATTATTGCAACGGAGAGTTCCGTTCAGTTAAGTCTTATTCTCAGAACCGAAAACAATATTAGAGGACCAACGTCTGAAGAATCGTTCGCTGCACTTAACAAGCTTTACAGCAGTAAACCAATCGTTGAAAACTGTATTACGGCGAAACGTTTGAAATAAAGAATACCAGACTTAAGAGCGTGTGGTTGACTAGGGTATTAAACCTGTGTATCCCTCGTAAGTGTTCGTATATTATATAGAATCTATATTTCAATTACAAATAAATTATTATAATACTTATAGTCGCTTAGATTTAGCAGCTGATAGTTGACAAGGGAGTCTCTGCGACTAACTGTGGATCTACTCTCAATTCTGAGATTAAAAAATTGGACAACCATAAATATATAAAAAGTTTATTTAAATCACATCTCTTATAGCTTGGGCACGTTATGCATATGAATGATGATTATAACGCTTTAAAGAACTAGATATCGAAAGTAAACGCAAATAAATCACTGGGTAGATACGACTGAAAATGTCTTCAATTATATGAACATCCAAAACCATGAAATTGAAACATTAGATCCTTCAATATGATAATAAATTGTTATAATTACAAGGAAAGTTTAGTTCACTGTGAATTGTGTGATAGGGATATTATAAACTCCTCCCTTCAGTCCACCACTCTTTCTTCATCACCTACTTTCCATATCCTATATCACGTCTATGCCTTCTGGTTTAGGGTGAGCATTGCACTTCAGGACGGGGGTGATGGAATAAATTTTTCTTCATTCATTCTTAATAGATGTTTTTTCGCCTACCGCCATCAAAAAAAAATTCTTTCAGTTTAAGCCGCAGAACACTGGGCATCGGTTCAGTTGCGTATATAATATATAATATATGCGTATATATATTATATTTAAACACGTCTAGATTATATTTCATTTCAAGTTCCGTGTAATAATAGTTTCAAAATATTTTATATAGTGTTGCGTATAAGAATAGTAGATTTGACCATTTCGAGATATTTTGTTCACGTTACGAGTGATAATTTTTAAATGTAGCATTTTGCTGTAGTTATCTAGTTCATCTAGCATTATTAAACATTAAAAATTAAAAACCGATGAGTGATGTTATTATGTCTAAAGTTAGATTAAGATCCGAAACTGTTTAGTCAAAACACTGTGTGGGTCGGTGATGAGAGAATTCGTTAAAATAACTTCAACCCACCGCTGGTTACGATGCTATAGAAGAGAAATTGCTAATCTGCTGTCCATTTTTTATACCTTTACAGATGGTGTGAAAATGAGTACTATCATCTATTACGATGCTTTCATCTGAGATATTCTTTCTATATACCTGTATTCAGTATTTTTAAAGTAAAGGCATTTCTTGCTCATAATCATTTTTTAATATTTCTAAAAGACGTCTTTTTTAATTTGCAGACGAATATATAATGAATCATATTATACTTTCGGGAAAGCACTAAAAAAAAATATATGGGATGTATGACTTTTATATAACATTTTTATAATATTTTATATTTGCCAATAGGATAAATGCTACACACCTTAACCATTTAAGAAGAACTTTTAAATCGATATAATAATTCCATAAAAAATTTAAATTTGTTTTTTGCGCTTAGTTGCATGACTAACTTTAATTCCGCTTGATGTGACCAATTGCACTGCAGATTCTAAGAGTGGTTCCATGTTTTTGCGAAGTAAAATAAATTTCAAACAAAACACGATGCGAACATTTTAAATTTTTCAATTTATATATATATATTTTTTTTTAATTTAAAACATTTTTATTTATTTATTTATTTTTTTAACAAACATGCAGAAAGGCAGCATGCATTATTAAGTTTATGATTTATGATTTTCAAGCCTCTGAAGTTAGCTTTGTTTTAATATACCTTCGACAGGTTTAAGGTTTCGAAGTTGTGTCGCTTGGGTGCAGTCATACAAAAGAAACTACATTGAGAGAAAGCAATGCATTCTTTGCGGATTGCAGTTGAAACAACATCTCAACTACATATATATTTTCGTTATAAATTCAATACAAAAAAATTTTTTATAATGATTTTTATTTTTTTTTTAATAATTTTTATTTCTTAATTTCAGGTGTCAAGTTTGTCGAAAATTGTGAGAACAGCTTTAATTTAATATTTACGCTGCTGATTCTGTGTGTCTGCCTAATTTCATAACTGGGAACTTCGACTTTGTTTCACATTTAAAAAAAAAATTATTGAAATTATTTTAATAGAAAAGTAGGCGTGGAGCAACAAGTCTTCATATTTATGCAATTTGCATGCTCTTTTACGTTTCCATAAAAATCTTCGTGGGTGGACATACTTCTACTTCATGTGCAAGTACTTGTCCATAAAGAATTTTATTTATTTTATGTTAAGACACTTTAAATTCTGCAAGTACACATTTAGCCTTCACGTTCTGTATCTTATGTGAAAATGACTGTGAAGCGCTAAACTGTGCAATGAATTCTTGATTTCAAGTTATTTTATAGCATCGTTTACTTGGCTCACGTACTTGAAATGTTTAATTTATAATGATGTGAATGAGCAGGAAAGTATATATATAATTGAATTCAAAGTCCATTTGACGATTGCTTTACGAATGAACATACTAACAGTTTTGCGTATGTATGTTAATAATATTATTATGAATTTAAGGGTAAAGAAATAAATCTAACGCATAAAAATTTCTTTAATTGAACAAACTTCATAAATCGAAGACAGAGTTGCATTTCAACATTTAACCCTTTTATCAGTCATATCAATGATTATTGCCCAAACCTTCTCAATACTTCTCTAACGTACATTGTACTATAAGGATCGAAGTTATTGGGAAATGAGTGAAATATAATATTGTTGACTACTGACACAATAATTTTTTTTCTTATTTCTTATGGGTCTTTACTTTTATTTTTTCTATTGTGCCTTTCAGTTAAGTTGAGGATCAAAAAAAAAACAAAGAGAATGAATAATACAAATGTCTTCTATAGAAGTTGTCAGGAGTCATACTGATATGAAAGACACAATTCAGCTTTGTTATGATACTGAGAAGTTCTAATCCTTTGTAATTTTTTTTATACATATTTTTTCTGATTTCAAGAGTTAGCAGAGCAGAACAGAGCCTACTTAATATAACCGAAAGTTTTCGTTATACTAATGGTTTATATTTTTTTTTTGATTTCAAGAGTTAGCACAGCTGACACAATTTTATTAATATAACATAAAATTTCGTTATTGAAAGTAGATGGGTAACCAGTGGTACTTGAGGAACTTAGATAAATTCCCCAGTGATATTAGAACGGATCACAGATCTATGTGTACCACTACATTTTCTTTAGTAAATTTTAAGGAACTATGTTTAATAACATATATATTAGTCATACGTGATGTATCAGTTACTTAGTATTAAACTTTATTCAAAACAAAGTTTCGCAGTTAATATTAAATAAAAAAGTAATATAACATTTAGAGAAAAGCAAATTTATCTTATCTACTTTAAACTTGCAAATTTATGCAAATGAATTCATAAAATAACGTTTAACCCTAAACAGGTGTTTGTTTTTTTTTCAAAAATGTCGGTAAATTCAGGAATAAACATATGCCGCGGTTATTGAATTGGAATTATTACTTCCACATATTTTTACAAGTAATACAATACTCGGATATTTTAATTTTTTTGCTTATACTTTATATGCAAATTTTATTTCGGTTAAGTCATTTCAATATTTTTTTTTTACTTTATGTTTTTGTGGTATGCGGTTGCATTTGCATTAAAATAATAAAGTCAATGCAATAATATTTTACTAAAGGATTCATATTGTAATATGGTTACTTCAAGAAGTTTATATCGTTCTTTAAAAAGTTTATTCCAATATTTATAATATATACAATACAAAAAGTTGACGTAATATAAAAAAATATTATAAATACATTAATCAACTATATAAAATCTTAATTTGAATTAACTTCATAGTTAAACTCGTATAATTGCCGTGAGATGATTTGGAAAAGATAACTTCATAATAAATAATGACGAGGTTATATTCATATGCAACATAAACAACTCACAGAAATAGAGCACCCAAAAACAGAAATGAACCCTATAGATCAATTTAGATGCATAACAGGCAAATCGTTAAGTAACGAAGGTGAATGCTAAAAGATTTGAACAGACATTTAAAGAAGCCAGTAAATATGGAACACAAATAGAAGAATGAATAGGATAATCGAAAGTAGAGAGAATAGAATTGCTCTTCAAAAAGTTATAGGTGAACACTGGAATAAACACAAAAATTAGTTTAAAGTATACCTATTAGTCTCCATTTTTAATTGTATGCTAAAATAATGTATTTGTAAAAGTTTTTGGCTAGTTAGCAAACTTGTATGGAGTCTCGCATTATCTTGGTGGAACACTAAACCTTATCTACTAATTAATTCTGACCTTTTCCGATTTAGTGAATTATTTAATTTATCCAGCTGATGAGAGCTCACTTTAGAATTGATAACAAAAAAAAAATTTCTTTGAAACAGACAGCATCACATTGTTTTTCAATAAATATTGGCTTTCGTAGTGCTTTATCATTTTTATCATGGTTTATCATTTTTACACCATTATCCCTTGCGTTTAACATTATTGTAAACAATACATTTCTCGTTCCCATTGATGATGAGTTTCAAAAATAAATTATTGATTTGATCTTTAAGAATCGAATAATAAACATTAACGAGTCGACTCAGATTTATTTCTGTAACAACATAAGGAACCTAAATGTCGAATTTTAAGATTAAGCCTAGACGTTTTAAATGATCGTGAATGGTTGAACTCGATCAATTTAAACTCTCAGTGATTTCACGAGTTATTGTCCGTTGGTTTGCATTAATTAATGCCTTTAGCAGCTTTAAGTGATCTTTCAGAAAGTGTTGCATCTTCAACATCAAAATTGTCGAATAAAAGTTTTCCAAACCAGTTCTGATAGTGCCGTTATGTCAATAGATCATCTCCATAAACAACGAATAATTTTTTCCATTTTAATGGAAAAAAAGTTTAATATACACAAAAATGTTGATTTGGTTTCCATATTCGAAAGAGCACCATCTAAAAACTACTGTGTGGAATAAATCCCTTAAAAAAATACATAAACACCGCGTCATCAAATCTCAGAATGGTTACAGGCTCCTCGGGGAGGTATGCAGATTTGAGTTCAATTATTGCTTAGTCTGATGAAGTTATAAACAATAATCCAGTCAAGGCGTAAAGAGGGGTTTTAAAAATACCTCGAGTTAAGAAAGAATAAGAGGGCTCAATTGCACTGGGTCAAATAGCTTCAACATAATAAATCGAATTTTTCATAAGTAAACCCGATTATATCGGCTGTCAAATTATATTGTATTATGAATATACAATAAAACCATGTACTGTGTAAATGTTTTAAAATCTTAAAAGTTACACGTAGAACATATATTATAATTATTTTTTTTATTTCTTTGGTACACTTTAATACTTATAGAGATATAAACATGAATAAAGTTGTTCGAACTAATTTACATTTATCCATGAATAGAATATAAGGAATGAATTTAACAATACTAAAATATCATTTTTACAAGAAACAAAATGGGTTTTTAATATGAAGAAAGTGAACTCATTATTTTTACTGCATCTATAAAAATTCACAAGTGACTTAAGTGTTAACAAGCCTACAAAACGACAGCGATGTTACGTCGAATGACTGATATTATCCTTGAACAATGTCAATGAATTTCACTTAGCTGCCGACACAAATGCAAGAAATAAAATAAAAAAGTGAACAATAATAGCAAAAAATGGCAACAAACAAACACGAAATGGCAAAAGTTGAAAAATTCAAATAACTGGCAACGCTAAACACACCTTAAAATATATTTCATGGTAAATGAATTCTCCACAAATTCATTGAAGCCGACTCGAGGAGAAGAAGTTGGTGCGTTCACAAAGTACAAAAGCAATTTCCGCACTTTTACGCCATAAAAATAAATGCAAATAATATTTTCGTGCAATTTTTTTTTTGTCACATAAACAATATGAATACAATAACAAAAATAACAACAAAATGAACAATAACAAAAAAAAATTTTTTTAAAGTGTAATTTTTAGAAGTTTTTAAGAAAAATTTTCAGATGACTGCAGTGTAACTTTTTTATAATTTTATTAAATTTGTTTAATCAAGCATAATCAGTTTAGAAGCCTTACACTTGGAATTATCAGTCGTTATACTTTTACGTATACTAGGAACTAGATAGGCAAAGCTTATTCGAAAAAACTGTAGGGAAGTAGTATAAATAAAGTATAACATCTCTTGGAAATCGACACATGAGAAATTCGACGGTAACGCAATAGCTGACAGACTTGTACAGGAGGATGCTTCAAATGCCTTTATAGGGTTCTAGTCTTTCTACCAGATATTAACGAATCATACTACATTACGAATGAGAAAAAAGAAAAATACATTTTTTGCCAATGCTTAAAGTCCAAAGCAATCCATATCGTTCATTCTAGTCAACAACAAAAATGCTGACAGGTTTATAAATGTAAAGAAATTAGATTAATAGATGAAATAAATTAATTGCTAATTTTTTTAACTAAATACGCTTTTATTTACTATCACTCGTTAAAGACAGTATTGAAGAACGTTGACATCTGCAAACACTGTGTAATAAAATTGATCCAGAACCGTTCAATCAAATGAATATTAATACTCAGACTATGTACTATATCTGCAGGACACTGTAGACTTAATTACCACATGAAGATTATAGGTGTGGTAGAAAGTGACTGCTGTCGTCTCTGTCATGAGGAGAAGAAAACATCAGAACATGCTCTATGCAACTGCCCAGCGGTGGCAAAACGAAGACTCGATTACCTTGATAGCGGGATATTAATCCCAAGTCAAATAGGTAAAATTAAGCCCACAGCAATTACAAGATTTATAAGTAGTCTAAAATTGTCCTAGTTGGGCCTTTAGGCGCACAATAGATCTTTTAGGTCGGGGTGCTTTAATAGACTATTACTTAAATAATAATAATGTACTATATCTATATCGGATTATAATATCAATCAGAAAGCCTCTATGTTAATGACATCATTACAAAAATATCAGATGAATAATATCCTAATAAGCAAAATGTAAGCTTTGTCTTATGATCACGAAATAATTGTCTTAATAATTGTAGGGAAACAACTTTAATTTTAGAGAGTTTACTTTCTTAAGAAGTACATTAAGACCGAAAAGTTTTCGGAAATTCTCATTTAAAATTCGCGCGCTGTATATTTTTCGATATTTTAAGTTTATGTAGTTTGGCAGAAATTAAGGACAATTACTATGCCAAAAATGAGCGCGATCTGTCAGACAGTTCGTTTACGGCAGCTGTTGAAACCAGTTCACCTCAGTAGGGCGTTGCGAAAAAAACAATGGAAAAAAATATTGAACAAAGAGTTTGCATCAAATTTTGTGTTTCGAACGAAATTTCGTGTGCAGAATCGTTGCGAATGCTACAAAAGGCTTATGGGGAATCAGTTTTATCGAAAACTCAAGTTTATGAGTGGTACAAAGCCTTCCAGGACGGTCGTACGACCGTCGAAGACATTTCGCAACGCACTACTGAGGTGAACTGGTTTCAACAGCTGCCGTAAACGAACTGTCTGACAGATCGAGCTCATTTTTGGCATAGTAATTAAGGACAGTGCTGCCAAACTACATAAACTTAAAATATCGAAAAATATACAGCGCGCGAATTTTAAATGAGAATTTCCGAAAACTTTTCAGTCTTAATGTAGAAGTTTAACATTTTTCGGATATGTGAAGTCTTTTTCTATGATATATTCCAATTTCTCAAATTAAAAATT